GCTGGGCTGTGACTCACTTCCCCCTGGTTTAGGGGAGAGGGCTGGGAGCTGCTGAGTGTGCAGTGGGGGCGGCCTGGAGAGCTCCTCTTGTTCCCCTCTGTCGGCCCTGCCACTGGCGGGCGGTGAGCTTAGCAGCCGCCTGGGCACACCGGTGTGGTTCTTTTTGGCCATTCCAGAAGGCATAGGCTGAGCTGCTAGCAGCCGCACAGGTGAGGGTGCCTGGAGCATTTCAGGGACTTTCCAGTGCAGAGAGCCCTGAACTTGGGCCCCAGCCTAGTTCTGTCGCTCGTGGCTTCCCCGTGCCTCAGTTTCCTCGCCTGTGCGGCAAGGCTGCCTGTGTGCCTCCAAGCTCATCTCTGCCTGGTTTCCTTGGCTCACCCTGGAGGGCTGTGTGGGCGCAGGGCCACTTCTTTCCTCCCTTAGGATAGCTGTTAGTGTCATTGGTCCCTTTCCACAGGTGGCAAAACTGAGGCTCGGGGAGACCGGTGAGTCCAGGATCCCAGGCTGCACTGAGCCTGCCAGTGGCCCTCCCTGCCCAGCCTCTAGACCTGGACATCACTCAGCACCTAGGCTGGCGCCAGGTGGAGCCCCGCCCAGCCCGCCTTACCCGGACAGAGCTCCTCATGGGTCCCAGGTCGTGGTTGTAGGCCTCCACCACCAGCACGTGGGACGAGTTCCTCTCTCGGTCCAGTGGCCGGGGCCCTCGCATCAGGAGCCCGTTGCTGACATGGATCCGGAAGTTGTTGCCATGGTTACCTGTGGGCGGGACAGATGCGGTGTGTGACTCTTTGTGGGCCTGCCCAGAGGTCTCTGGACTCGTGTGAAGTCCACGCTCAGCAGGGAGGCCTCGGACTCATGCTGCCCAGGTTGGGGTGGGGGCAGAAGTTCATCTGCGCTCTTTGGGGGTAAACTGGGGGGTCTCCCTTGACCCTCCCACCACAGGTGTGGGCACGATGAGGCCTCCTGTGTATTCAGAGGGATCCAGGGCCAGAACCAGCTTCTCTGTGGTGGCTGAACCCGGATTTAGTGGACATCCCTGGGCAGCCCAACAATCACACCCCCACCTTGTGAGAGCACCCCCGGCTTTCCCCTGGGACCCACCCTCCCCCACTCTGCCCCCGTGGTTTGGGTGGGGTGGCTGCGCCCAGATTCCGGGAGGGGGCCGGCAGCATATCTGATTCTCTGGCCAGTAATTGGAGGTCTGAGATTCAGCTGGGCCAGTGAGACTCAGTCTCCCGGGGGCTCACGGGTGCGGCGGGGCTGCCCTGCCCCGCCAGGCCCCTTCTGTCAGGGTCACAGCTTTGGGAAGCATGCAGTACCCAAGGCACTTTTTTGGGAGTGTGGCAATCCGAGGTAGCACCTTTTCCGGAAACACATCCAGCCCAGGGCCGATCACCAGAGCACTGCGTGTGTCCCCCTCTGCCCGCCCCCACCCCCAGCCTCCCTCCCACAGCCTGGGCAGCCAGCAGACGTGCCGCCCTCCCAAGGGCATCCCCGCGCCGGGGCAGCCTCTCTCACCGTGCAGGATGCGGTACCACACTCGCCCAAACTCGCCCTCATCTGCATCGGTGGCTCTCAGCTGTGGAGAATGAGACCCTGCCGTTACTCCTTCAATCCCCTGTAGCGAGGACGGCGGATGCTTGTGGGGCTTCCTCCTTCCCCTCTACGGCACTCCCCCTGCCCCAGCCGAGCTCCTGGCTGCCCACAGATGTGGGGGTGCGGAGGTGCAGGGGACGTGCTTGTCTTTCTCAGCCCCTACAAGGACATCCTAGTGCTGATGGCTCCAGGCTGCCCTGCCTGGGTTCCCAGCGAGGACGCAGGACCAGGTGGACACCTGCCCTGAGCCATCAGAGTCAGCTTTGACCAAGAGGAAGCGGTTCCCTGCCTTCGAGCTGCCTCGCCCAGGGAGACTGGATAGCCAGACTGCTTCTGGAGCTCCCACGGCCTGAGGTCATGCTGGCCACACTGGGCCCCAGCTGGGCGCTGGAGACAGTAAGAGCTTTGTGGAGGCCCAGAGAACCCCCCTTTGAAAGGACAGCCCCCAGTGCATTCACGCGCACCGGGGCTCCGGGCTAGTTGCAGTCACCTGGCTCCCTTGGCTGTCCCTGGGGCTGGGGTGCTGCTCTCCCCCCAGGAACACTGCCTGGAACTCGGCTCTGTTCAACGAGCTCGGCTCCGAGGCTGTTGGCCCCGAGTGAGTCCTGTCGAGCCAAGAGCTGAACACCTGCTCCGCACTACATACCTGCGCAAGGTGGTGCCAAGAGGCCTGGGAAGATGCCCCCAGAGCCCCCTCTCATTGTTCCCAGGTTGGGGGTGAATCTCTGTGTAAGGCCCCAGACACCCCCTCCTCCGGAACCACCCTCCTCTCTGCACCTCTCACTTCCACCCTGTGTGTGGGGTGCTCCAGAACTGCCTTGCCAGTTTAGCGTTTGGCAGGGAGAAGGCGGGAGGCAGATACATACACACAGAAATGGGGAGGGAGGGAGGGGGAGGGGGAGAGAGAGAGAGAGAGAGAGAGAACACTCTCATGTGCTGCTCCTCTCCCCAAATGCCTATAACCGCCAGGGCTGGGCCAGGCTGACGCCAGGAGTCTGGAACTCCATCTGGGTCTCCTATGTGGCAGGAACCCGACCATTTGAGCCATCACCACTGCCTCCCGGAGTCTGCATCCGGGCCGTGTGTCATTCCCAGGCACCCTGATACGTGACGCGGGCAATGCAGCCTGCAACCTCCAGCAAGCCAGATGCCCGCCCCGTCCCCCACTGCAGCCAGAGGCAGCTGGTGCCGGAGCGGGCGTCTGATCAAACTGAGCCAAGCACACCTTTCTATGGGGTTTCAGACCTTGGGCCCAGAGCCCCTGGGCGAGAGAGATTGATTCTTGCAGTAAGATGTGGGAAAACCACCCGTGTGCCCCTCCCCGCCTGAGCTCCCTTTCCAGCGCTGGCTCCAAGCCTGCCCTGGCCACGCTGGTTTCCCTGTGATTTCTTGAATGCCAGGTGCATGGCAGCCTCAGGCTTTTGCCCGAGCGCTTTGCCCGGCCCGGCCACCTCTCCCTGTGGACTCCCGCATGCTCAATGCCTCGCCTCCTTCTCACAGGCCCCTCCTGACCACCGTCCACGGAGCAGCAGCTGCACTCCAACCGTTGGCCTTCCCTGGCCCCCGTCTCCCTCTGACCCATAAGCCACTGAAAGTAGGGGCTGGTGCTGTGCTATAGCCCTGGCCTCTAGAACCACGATCCTGGCACACAGTAGGGTCAAATATTTGTTGAATGAATATGTGAGTGACTTAGCAGCAAACCTCTAGCAAGAGGTATGACCAGGGCTTTCATGGGGCCACAGTGTTTGGGCCAGCGGCTTCTGGCCGGAATCTGGAGCCCAGCTGCACCTCCTCCTCCATCTTTCCCCTTCAACTTCCCCTTCCATTTGTGGGGTGTCCCAGTCCTGCACCAGTGCACTCCCCACTTTGCCCAGGGAAATTGAGTTGGGTTCTTGTTTCCTATGGCCTGAAGCCTGAATGCGGGCTCTTCTGTCCTTGTTTGATCGACCGATTTTCAGAGAGGAAGGGCAAGGCCCCACTCGCAAACCTCAGACAGGCAGAGGCCATGGTGGGTGGCGCTGGCTGGAGGTCCCCAGAGCCTCAGCAGAACATGACCCAAATGCCAGGGTAGAACCCAGGACGGGAACGGCGAGCCTGGCAGCCGGCGTTGGCCCCATGGGACTCATAGGATGTCCAGAGACAGCCTCTGTGTGTGTGTGTGTGTGTGTGCGCGCGCGCGTGTCCAGGCTGGTTCGCTTACTGGCTCTGTGACATGGAGCAGTACTATGAGCCCTCTGAGCCTCAGTTTCCTCATCTGTAGATTGGGCACAAGGACAAGCACCTTGCAGGTTGATGGGGAGATTAGAAGCCGTCCTGCAAAACATCTCATCTGGTCCTGGCCCAGGAGCAGGCAGTGAAGGTGGACATGATGAGGATGCCGCCTTCTCCAGGGAGGCCCTCTTGGTTTACACTGGGGTTGGTTGGCTGGGTTGCCCCTGGCTGTGAAGTTCTTTCTCTCCGCTTTCCCTGAGAGGTCTTAAGGGCTGGAAGGCAGAGGGCAGTGGTGTGGAGGCAGTCAGCAGGAGGGCCCGAGCTGCCTGGGGCACAGCCTGTGTGCCTGTCCACGGGGAGGCTGCCTTGCTGCCCCCTGCCCCCTGCCCCCAGCAGTCTGCATCACCCTGGAAGACTGGCGCCTGCCATGCCGGGAAAGTAAGCCCCCAGATGAGCTGCCCAGCCTGGGAAGACGTCACAGAAGCCGAGGACAGTGCAGGCTGCCACGGAAGACAGGGTTGTCCCCAGGCCTCCAGGTGCTCACACACACCAGGGACCTTGCCCGCACCAAACCCCACCACCAACACGCTGGGCGACCCCGGCGGGCCACACCTCTCGGGACCTCCGCCTGGTCTCTGGGGTGGGGGCTGGATCCCATGGCTCCTAACGGTCTCTCCAGCTGAGCCAGGCCATGGAAAGGTCCCATCCACACCAGGGGAGGCGACCACTGCCTCATTAACGTGCTTGAAGGCTCAGAAAGCTGGGGCTCCAGCGGGCAGGCTTTGGCACAGCAGTTAAGTCGCGGCTTGGGGCACCTGCTTCCTTCATCGAAGCGCCTGCTTCGAGCCCTGGCTGCTCCACTTCCGCCCCAGCTTCCTGCTCACGCACACCCTGGCAGGCAGCAGAGGATGGCTCACGTGCTTGGGCTCCTGCCCCGTACTAGGGAGATGCAGATGGGATTCTGGGCTCCCGGCTCTGACCTGGCCCAGATCTGGCTGCTGTGTGAGGTATCTGGGGAGTGAATCAGTGCATGGAAGATCTCTCTCCATCTGTCTGTCTGCCTTTCAAATAAACTAAATATAAATTAGTAAACCTTTTTTGGGAAAAAAAAAAAAGCACAAAACTGGGGCTGGAAAACAGTAGTGTTGGTCCCAGCTCAGGTCCTGGGCAGACCTACAGCTCCTCACCCCAAAAGTGTGCTGTGTCCCGGGAGCCTGGAGCTCCCTGACGGGGCAGCTGCTCCAGACCCCCGCCTCCCAGCAGGCAGCTGGTTGCCTGGGAAGCTCTGGTTCCCAGGGAGAGAGGCGGCAGGAGGAGGGCAGTGTGCTGGTGGGGCTTGCAGAGGGCCATGGCGGCCCACCCACGCTGCCCCGCCGACTCCGCTTTCTCCCTCACTCCCGCAGCCCCACACCGTCAAGACCAGGTGCTCGGCTGGGAGGCCAAGAGGAGAACCCCAAGGGAGCAGGGCTCAGGGACACTGCAGCCGGGGCCTCCCAGCCTGCCGGGGCCCATCCCTCAGCCCGCTCCCCTCCCACCGTGTGACTTGGAGCCCCTCTCCAGGGAAACCTGGAGCCTGGCAGCCCCTGAATAGCGACCCGCTGGCTGCCGCCCGACCATACCATTCATACTGGCAACGGGGGAAGGTGACAGCCCTGGGGCCCCGAGGGGCAGCGCAACCTTGTGCCTGCGTCCCCCTAGTGCCTCCCAGCCCTGAGAAGGCTCCAAGGAGACGGGCTGGAGTGGGGCTGAGCCGTGGGAAGGCTCAGGGGCACCCGGCTCCTCCAGAGAGCTCTGGCTCCCTCGTCCCAGCCCAGTGGCCATCCCTGCCCCGTTGGCCGGCCCTCCCCTTAGGGCAGGGCCCAGATTCTCCCAGACAAAGCCAGCTGCGAGTGAGGGGAGAAGGCCTGGCTGGCTGAGGGGCACAGGCAGGGCAGGGTTGGGGTCACGAGCCCCACGCGAAGCTCCTTGGGGGCCCCCTTGGAGAGACAGCCGGAGAGACCGCCCCCCAAGCCGGGACTGCTGAGGGCTGCTCTGAGGTCAGTGCTCGGGGGCTACAGGAGAGGAGAGTGGGGGTGTGGCCCTGGCGGGGGCTACTGGGAGGATGTGAGGGTACGCTCACACCTGGGCAGCCCCTCGCTCCGCAGAGTGGGAACAAGGCCCAGTGAGGGCAGCGGCTGGCCCAGGGCCATGCAGCAGCCTTCTCTGCCCTCCGCAAGCCCTGCTCTGCGGAGCTCGAAGTGAGGGAAGAAAGTTCTAGACTGAGCCTGCAGAGATCTGCCCAGAGCAGGGCCCGCAGGTGCAGCCTGGCTCTGCTGGGCCTGGGCTTCTCCCTGGAGCAGCTGCGCTCAGCACTGGGCAGCTCAGGCCTCAGGGGACAGCCTCATGTGTCAGGAAGGGGCTCTGGCCCTTGCCCAGCACTTGGGGGGCCCTTGCTGCCACAGCCACACTCAGAGGCTCATCACAACCTCACTTTTTTTTTTTTTTTTTAATTTGAAAGGCAGAGAGAGACAGAGGGCCAGAAAGGGCCAGAAAGGGACACAGACAGATCTTCCATCTGCTGTTCACTCCCCAAATGCCTGTAACAGCTCGGACTGGGCCAGGTGGAAGCCAGGAGCCTGCACCTCCATCCGGGTCTCCCACATGAGTGGCAGGGACCCAAGGACTTGGTCCATTGCCTGCTGCCTCCCAGGGTGTGCAATGGCAGGAAGCTGGATCAGAAGTGGAGCCTGGACTCAACCCAGGGGCTCCGATGGCAGATGAGGCATCCCAAGGGGCATCTTGACTGCTGGGCCCTACGCCCACCCCTCCACTTCCTTTTAAGTGGACCCCAAGGCCTGGAGTGTGGTCCCCACGCCCACGGGCAGGCCATGCAGTAACACGACAGCTGGTTGGACCGGCTCCTCCCGGCTCCTGCTGCCCTGTTCTTGGTCCCCGCCAAGCATGGCCCAGGGGAGGAGAGAGGGCAGCTGGCTTCCTCCCCATGGGAGGCGGCGGTGGGCACACCCTTCCCCTCCTCCTGCTCAGACCCAGGGAAGGGTCAACCCTCGTGGGCTGGCCCACCAGAACACTCCAGACACGACGCCTGAGAGGCGGGGGCTTGGGCAGCTGGACGGGCATCAGAGTTTCCAGCCGGGAGCTGGGAGGCGGCGTTGCAGCCTGGGGAGCGCTGGGAGGGTGGTGGCAGGAGCTGGCTGAGGGGGCTGCCAGGGCTGCCCTGTCGCCTGCTTGCAGGGAGCTGGGAGTCGGTCCTGCGGCTGCTGGTGAGTGCCTGGGATGGGGCCTAGGGGCTGCGCTCTACTCCCTGTGCCTGCTGTGAGGACTCTGCACCACAGGGCTGGAGGCTTCTCCCTGCTGAGCTGTGGGGTCAGAGACCCAGCTCCCAGCCGGGAGGGGCGGGGGGAGGGACAGCCATTCCCCTCACCTCGCCCCCTGCCTCAGAAAAGACCCCAATGTCAAACAAATGGTTGTTTTTGGTGGTTGTTTTTGGTGAGAGCCTCTTGGGTTTCCTGGCCTGTGCGTGGAGACCCCACAGCCCATACACGCCGGCCTGCCAGCTGCAGGGAGCCCGCGTCGGTGTCCTGCTCCGCCTCTGTGTCCTGCTCAGCCTGTTTCAAACGCTTGCACGTATGTTTTCTTTCGTTCTGGAGTTGAGTTTATCTGGCCTTGTGTTTCTCTCCTCTGTCCCTCTCTCTTCTCTCTAGCCTTAAACTTAAATTAGCTGCCAACATTTAAACACCAGCATTGTTTGCCTAAGAAAACCCCGGTTTCTGGCTTCTCTTGGGAAATGGGAAAAGCAGACCCACTTCCTCCATGTGCTCCAGGCAGCCCCGCCGGCCGGCCCCATGCTGGCCAGGCTCTGGAAGCTTTTTTATGTGCAACCCCCGAGATCACCTGGAAGCTCACCCTGGGTGTCCCCCTTCGAGCACCACTGGCCACACCCCCTCTACTGGGCGATGGGAAATGATGATGGAATTGACGAGCTCTCCCACCCCGCCCCACCTCAGAAACCCCTGGGGGCTTCTTTCTACCTGTTCCCAGAGCAGCTCCCTGAGCCTGGATGTCACTGGGGGTGACAGGAGTCAAGGAACCTGGCTCTGGCCTTTGTTTAGGCCTTGACCCTGGGCCTCAGTTTCCCCGCCTGGTATGCGAGCGGGTTGGACTGCATAGGGAAACAGCAGCGGGAATGCCCATGGGCCAGGAAGGTGACATATGGTGGGTGGTGGGCTTCTGGGGGGGGGTGGCCAGCTGGTGGTGAACGCCTTGTCTGGAGGTGCCAGCTACAGCACTTTGGCCCCAGGCAGAGGCACTGTCCAGTGCTTCTACGGATGGAAAGCTGAGGTTCCAAGAGAAGCCAGGCACCCAGATACTCGTGCACAATATTTTTTAAAAGCTAACTAATTTATTAGGAAGGCAGAGTGACAGAGAGGGAGAGAAAGCGGGTGGGGCGAGACAGATTGATCTATCTACTAGTTCACTTCCCAAATGCCTACAACAGCCGGGGCTGGGCCAAGCTGAAGCCAGGAGGCTGGAACGCCATCCAGGCCTCCCATGTGGGTGGTGGGGGCCCAGGTATTTCAGTTGTCATCTGTTGCTTCCCAGGCGCATTAGCAGGAAGCTGGATTGGTGGCAGAGGAGGGACTTGATCCCAGGTGCTCCAATATGGGATGTCGGTGGCTTAACCCGCTGGACCACAATGTCTGCCCCAAAATATTTTTTAAAAAATTCACAACCAGGGCTGGCATTCTGGTGTATCTGGTAAAGCAGCTGTCTGCAACACCGCATCCCTTATGGGCACCGGTTCATGTCCCGGCTGCTCCACTTCCAAGCCAACTCCCTGATAATGGCTGGGAGAGCAGCAGCAGATGGCCCAAGTGCTTGGGCCCCACTACCCACGTGGGGGACCTGGAAGCTCCTGGCTTTGGCCTAGCTCAGCTCTGGATGTTGCAGCTACCCGGGGGGTGGGGGTGGGGGTGGGGGATGGGTGAAGCAACAGATGGAAGGTCTCTCTCTTTCTCTGACTTTCAAATAAATTAATAAAATCTTTTAAAGATTCATAGTTAGGTTTATAAAGCCCCTGCAGTGACTCAGCCAAATGCACCTGTGGGCCTGCACGTGCAGCATGAGCCTTAGATGAGAGCTGAGCCCCCCTCCCCCCAGCTGCAGCACTGGGTAACCCCCGACTCACACCCGGTGGCAGAGCGAGTGCTGTGAGACTGGCCCTAGAGCCCGGGTTCCTAGCCCACGCCTCTGTGGTGATCTATGGGAACTGACTTTTAAATGCTGGGAGGGGCTGGGCACTTGGCACAGTGGTTCAGAGGCCACTCGGGACGCCTGCCTCCCACCTCGGAGTGCCTGGGTTGCAGTCCCAGCTCTGCTCACAGTCCCAGCTTCCTGCTAATGCTTACCCTGAGAACCCTAGGCTGCCATCAGCGATGGCTTGAGAACTTGGGGTCCTGCCACCCACGTGGGATGCCTGGGTCAAGTTCCAGGCTCTTGGTTTTAGCCTGGCCTAGTCCTGGTTGTTGTGGGCATTTGAGGAATGAACCAGCAGTTGGAAGATCTCTCTCTCTCTCTCTCTCTCTCTCTCTCACTACCTTTTAAATAATAATGTTAATTTGGGAATACCAGGAGGCACTACCCTCTTGTCTCCTCCCCGGCAGCCCGGTAGGGGTCAGGTAGCCGGAGGACATGAGCTCAGGCCCACCTCCACCGCGTATCAGCTGTGGGAACTTACACCTGCCACCCCCTGGGCCTCACTGTCCTAACCTGAATGGTGACCAGGCTACTGCCTAGTTTAGCAGGCTCAGCTCCCATCGGGGTTCCCAGGTAAGCCTCCCTCCCTGGCCCTGGGAGCTGCGGATCAGCCTCTGACCTCCTGTCCCGTTCCTGTTGCAGGCACCATGAGCACAGAGGCGCCCAGCCTCACCGGCTCCCCGGTTACCAGTCCCCTTGCCTTTCTCACAGCTCAGGAAGCTGCTGCAGGCACCCTGGCGGAGGCGGCCAGCCCGGTCCCAGTGCTTGTGGCCCTGGCCTGCATTTTCCTCCTGCTGGCCACCTGCCTGCTGTTCATGGCACTCTGCAAGCCGGCCGCGCTGGACCCGCGCCGCCGCGGCGCCCGCGAGTGCATGCCCCACCACCCTGGGAGCCCCAGCGAGCCCCAGCTGCGCCTCTGGAAGCGCCTGGGGTCCCTGCGCCGCTCCCTGCGCAGCTTCCACCGGGGCCGGCCCGCAGCCCCTCCACGCCCGCTGCCAGCCTGCAACAACAGCCAGGGCGACTGGGACTGCTCGGAATCCACCAAGATGTGACAGGTGGCCACGGCACGCCCCTCCCCCGGTCCACCTCCAGACCTTCCTGCCTGGCCCTGCAGCTGCAGGCAGACAGCAGCCCGTGCAACCTGGGCCACACACTCATCTCGTGTGCCCAGGCCTGTGCCCTTTCCGGACCTTCCACCCTGAAGACCCCCCAGCTGCTGCTTGCTAAAGGATCCCTGGGCCAAGGGGAGCACCTGCTGCCGCTGAGCCTACAGGCACAACCTGGGGCTGCCCAGGGCCTCCTCCGGGCAGCGGCACCCCTGCTCCGCCACAGAGCCTTGCTGCACTCTGGGTGCTAAGGCCAGTTCCAGGAGCTGCTGAGCGACAGAGCACCTCTCCAGCCATGGACACTACTCAGCTTATACTCGGGCAAGCTTCGGGCCTGCCACCGATGCCCATCCACACGAGCGAGCGGCTGGCACCCCACCGGGAGACCTGCGGCCTGGGTGCCGGCTGGGAGGAGGCACCGCCTACAGAGTCACCACCCCGGCAGCTGAGGCCCGATTCAGTGCACCCGCGTCAGGAGCCACCAGGAAGGGCCGGGGCGGGGAGGGGAGCCGGTGGCTCTGTGCCTCGCCCAGGGAAGGAGTGGCCTCCCCTTCGGTGGGCGGTCCAGACATCCCCAGGACAGCTGTGGGGCCTCCGGCTGGGGCCACAGAGGCTGTGCTAGTGGAGATTGCTTCACTGGCCGGCTACCTGCAGATGCAATCCCACCCCAGGGAGGCCTCTCAGTACCCCAAGTCCTGGGCCTTCCCCCCCAAGCCACGACTACACACTCTGGTCTGGTTCCAGATTCGGAGAGTGGACAGAGCGGGCCTGAACTGCCTCGCTCCTGTCCCAGAGTCAGCACCCCTGCCTACCCCGCCGTGACCCACAGTGCAGCCGGCCAAGGCTTCTTGAGGCCTGAGCGCTGGGTTCACCTCCTCCCGGCTCTAAAACCTCCCCTGGCTCCCTGCTTCCCGCTAGATAACGCCCACGCTGCCCGGCCTGGTGGGCAGCGCCCTCTGGAACTGGCTCCCGTCTCTCTTTCTCCTCAGCTGGGCCTGAGGCAAAGGGGCCCACCCTGTGGAGTCCCCTCTGCTCCGCCTCGAGCTGCCTCCCCTCCCACCGCTCTGGGGGCGGACGAGGAGGACTTCCTGTTGGCAGCCCTCTGGTCTACGTCCTCTCCTTCGTATCAGGCTGGGAGTCTGTGGAGGGCCAGACCCCCTGCAGCCTCTCTCTGTGCCTCACTGGACACAGAGGGGTGAGGCTTCTGTTTATCGGTGGCGGGGGGTGGGGCGGGGGTAAGGCAGCCAGGCCGTGTCCACCCCCAGGTGGAATGCACGCTCTCGGAGCCTGCAGGACCCAGAGCCCTGCTCTCCGCTTGGCTGCCCCGAGACCCTGAATTCACGCAGGAGTAAAGGGGGAAGGGGTGGGCACGCGTTTGGCACAGCAGGTGGACACCTGCACCTGTATCAGAGGGCTTGGGTTTGAGTTGTGTCTCCTACTTCTGATCTAGCTTCCTGGAGACAGCAGGTGATGGCCCAAGTCCTTAGGTCCCTGGTACCCGCATGAGAAACCAGAAGAGAGTTCTGGGATCCTGGCTTCAGCCTGGTCCAGCCCCCGCTCTTGTGGGCATTTGGGGAGTGAACCAACTGATGGAGTTGTCCATCTGCCTTTCAAATGAAAATAAAATAGAATAAAAAGGAATGGGGGGTGGGGAATCTGGCCTGCCCTGCATCACAGACTGCGGGATTTCAGTCGGAGCCGCACTGTGCAAATAGAAACCAATTCTCTGGGCTTTAGCAAGTGGGGCCGGCTTCCTCCTTCCGTCTCGGATTCTCCTCCTGGTTCACTTCCCCCAGGGCCTCCCTGAGACTGCCCAGGCTGAATGCAGTCTGTGGTCGTCCACCCTGGCTGCGCACCAGGCTTGCTCATTCCTGAGGGTGCACGGGACTGGGTGGGGGCAGCTGCCCTGAGACCTGAGGAGAGCTTCAGGCAGGGGGTCACAGCCCTGGGGCTCTGGCCAGTTGGCTGACACAGGTACAAGGCTGGGTGAGGGGCCCACAGCTTCCTGCAGGGGGCGCTCCAGGGGCCGAGACCCCAGAAGAGAACCTCCTCCTCCTTCCAGAGCTAACAGACGCTGGCCAATCCCCAGGGCTTCCCGGACGCTCTGCGCCACAGGCCCTGTCCCGGGCACACTCCCAGCCGCCCACTCTCTGCTCTCTGGCAGCCGGGGCCAGAGGCAGGTCCGGATTCGCTGGCTGGCTCAGGCTCCGGGTCGGAAAGCCCCGGCCAGCGCTCGTCAAGAGAGCGATTCATGAAGGCTGGGATTCATTCGGGCCGCTCGCCCGCCCCGCTAGCAACCCAGGCCTCCCAGGCAGAGCGGGGGCGGGCACCGCGCTGGGTCTCAGGGCCCTCCCCCGGCTCCCTCGTCACTCCCGCTCCCTGGGCAAAGAAGCCCTTTCTTCCTGGGCCTGCTATTGCCCAAGAGAGGGCCTGGTCAAAGCCGCGCAGTTCTGGCGTTTGCTGGGCCCACCTCTGAAAGGCCACCCTAGGAGGGCTGTGGGAGCCGGAAGCCGTGGCTGCTCGCCCTGGGAAGGAGGAGAGGGCCGGGTCCCCCTGGCCCCAGAGCAGCAGGCCCGCCCGCACCCCCGCTTCCACCCTCCAGGACCCCACTGAGCAGGTGCACTCAGAGCTGCCACCTGCCTGCACGATGCTGTGGCCCTCGGGAATGTCCTCGGGGACGCTGGCCTCGTAGCTGCTCTGCAGGAAGATGGGCCGGTTGTCGTTCACGTCCAGGACGGTGACAAACACGGTGGCTGTGCCCGTGCGCCGCTTGCCTACGGGGCCGTTGTCTGTCGGGGGTGGAGGAGGACAGGTGTCAGCGGCTGCCTGTGACCATTCCCGGGTGCCCGGCCCTGGCCTTTGCAGCGTGTGACTGCTCTCCTTTCCAGGGCACGGGTGACAAGGGCTGGGCTTCGCACCGGGCCAGCCCTGGGCCATGGGCACCGTCACTATCACCTTACTCAGCAGAGGTGCTGCTGTGGGTTGAGCAGCGGCTCCCAAAAAGTGCGCCGGTGTCAAGTCCCCAGGAATCCTTGAATGTAAACTCACGTGGGGACACGGGGCCCCTGCAGATGTCACTAACTGAAGTGCTGAGCAGGAGACCGACCCGGATCGTCCAGGGGGCCAGGCATGCAGTGCCCAGCGTCCTTCCGAGAGAAGGCACGGGGCGAGGCGGGAGGGAGAGCAGGTTCTGAGAGGATGGAGGCAGAGGCTGGGTTTGTAGCCACGAGCCAGGGACACCTGAAACCACCAGGGACTGCACAGGGCAGGGGGCCCCTCTACTAGAGCCCTTGGCAGGACCAGGGCCCTGCGGTGCCTTGACTGTGCACTTGTGGCTTCCAGAACCACGAAGAGTACGTTTCTGCAGTGCGAAGCCACTGTGCTTGCTATGTGAAGATCACGGCACACAGAACTGTCATGGCCAAGGCTGAGAGCTGCGGGCCCACACGCGATTCTCAAGAGGACGGAGCATCTGAACTTTGGAATAAAATCTCCTGCTTCTAAGTGTTCCACAACTACTTCTCATTCCTTATGCAACATAGGATGGGCGGCCACACGCGGCTACGGACTCTGCCCAGGGCTCCCTCCTTTCTAACCCCAGGAATCCAGGCCCTCCCAGGACAGCCCCAGGGCAGCTGCTAGCTGCTGTCCCTGGAAGAAGGAACCGGCGTGCTGTGCTGCGTGTCCAGGCATGAGTGGTCACCGGGGAAGCGTGCAGGCAGCGGGAGCCGCCTGGGGGCCTGGGACCACTGCCTCCTTCTTCTCCAGGCCACGTGCAACGGGGAAAGCCCCCACCCCCTTCCACACCCAGAGGGTCCTGCTTCCTTGCCCTGGCTAGGGGCCCCCTAGAAGGCCCAAGCGCAGGCCCTCACCTGCTGCTAGCCAAAGCCTGGGGCTCAAGCTGGACTGGGGTGGGGGGCAGTGTGGCTCTGGCGGGGGGGCGTCCCAGCTGGGAGGAGAGCAAGGCTGAGGGCAGAGGCATCCGGGCATGGCAGAGAGGCCATTCCCTCTCACTGGGAGCATGCTGCCACAGGGAAGTGGGGCAGAGCCCTTGAGGGCTCCCTGCTGCCTGCAGACCGAAGACCAAACTTCCAGCCAACGTTTGCCCTCTGCAGCCTGCCCTGCCTGGCTGAGCCACCTCCTCTCCAGTGCAGGCCACACCAAGGGCCGGCTACCACTCACACTCCCTCCCTCCCTCTGTCTCTTACACGCACACACACATACTCACACCCACACCTCACACACACACACTCATACATACACACACCCATATGCACTCACACTCATACAACATTCACATACACATGTATATATACTCACACTCACACACATATACACATATGTACTCACACCCACACGCATACCCCAACTCATGCACATGTACACACACTCACACAAACTCACACACAACATTCACACACACACGTACATACACTCACACTCGTACCCTCTCTCTCTCCCTCTCACACACACACACACACACACAGTCACCTCTCACTCACTCTCACACTCAGCAGCTCCTTCCCCGCTCCGGGCCCTTGCACTGGCTGGCTCCCTTCGGCTCCCCTGCCTGAAGCACCCCCCTGCGTCTTCAGCTGCGGCAACCTCTCCTCTCCTGGCCTTCGGGGCAGCACTGGGCGCCCCTCGCGTCCGCCCAGCAGCACCATCCTGCTCCTTCCCGGGGAGGCCTCGCCCTGAGTGTCTCTCTGAGGACCCCTCCCCACTTTCCCACTCTCAGGCCTGGAATTCTGGGCTCGGGAGACTGGCCCCGGCTCCCAGGACGGGCATGTCTCACGCCCTTGGCTGTGACGCGGGGTCCAGGGCAGGCACCTGGGCGGAATGGAGCGAATCAGACCCAACCTGAGCGCTGCTGCTCAGGAGGCTGGGAAAGAGGCAAGTGCTGGCCCCTCGCTCCTGCCCTTGACCTTGGAGGATGTGAAGGAGGGCTGCTGCAAGGATTCCCACCTCAGCACCCAGGTGCTGAGCCTGCCAGCATCCCCTGAGCCCGGAACCAGTCAGACCTAAAGCCAGACCTCCCAGTGGACTGGTTTCGTCAGCCCACACTGCTGAAGTCAGCTCATTTTCATTGTTAAATTTGCAACCCAAAGAATCCTGCCTCAAAGGTGGTCCCAGATGCTGCTTCCTCCAGGAAGCCTTCCTGAACCTGGCCTGCCCCACGCTCCCAGAACCCCCCTTTTCCCTGCCTGCTTGTTATCTGTGGCCATGCAGTCACTGGAGCTGCCCCTCCCTCCTGGCAGGGGGCCCCACGCCTGGCAGTGCTCCAGGGATCTGTTGAGTGGCTGTGGCTGCTTCCCCGCTGTGGTGGGCAGAGGTCATCCTGCGGCTCCAGGCCTGGCCCCTCCCCTCGGGGGGTCCCCTGTGTGAGCTCTGCCAGCAGGGACTGTTGTGAGGTGCAGGGCAGAGCGGGGCTCACCGATGGCCTCCAGGACGAGTGTGTACGCGGCTGTGGTCTCACGGTCCAGGCCCACCACCGTCCTCACCACAGCGTCGCGGTAGCCCACGCTGAACTTCCCGTCCACGTTTCCACCTGTGGGCGAAAAGGACCGAGGCCTGGGGTCACAGAGCAGAGCCCCCGGGCAGGGAAGGGGTGGCACCCACTCTGCTCTCAGAAATGGGCGGCTGCACTGTGGCTCAGCCCTGCCCCAGGGCTCTGAGGAGCCTGTGTGGACTGTAGTAGGTACTGTGTACCTAGTACCTACTGAGCACTTGCTGTGTACCTGGCACTTCACCTGCAGCACTTCATTTAACCTCCGAGGGACAAGAGGTCCTTGAGTGAGGGTGTGTGCTGGCTTGGGCTATGGTCTCTGTGCTGGTTCCGGCCCCGTGCCCTCCACCACTCTGCACCTGCCTGCCCCGCAGCGGCGTCCGAGCAGTTAACCTGCACTGGGGTTCTACGTGTGCTGAGGACCTCGGGTGCCCGAGTATCTTCTCGGCAGTGCGGGAGGGATGGGCTGGAGCACAGCTCTGAGACCCCCCCCCCCGGGGGGGCACTTATGGCGGCCACACACAGAGTGAAGAGTAGAGGCAGCTGCCCAGAGCCAGGTGCCCCTGAGTCCCCTGACTTCTGGGCTCCTTGGGAAACATGAGAGCCTCCTGTCCTGCGTGCACAGAACAGCGTGGGAGACCCCTCCCCTGCCAGCTGGCGGGCAGTGCAGAGATGCCAGCAGCAGAGGGCGCCTCTGCGCTAGGTTTGGAGCAAAATGGGTTCAGGATTCTGCTCTGCTCCCAGCACAATGCACAAGAACGGAAAATCGGGGAGGGGCTCTCAGCAGGTCTCAGGAACCCACCTCCCTGCGTGCTGGGAGGGCTCCCTTGTCCTTACTGCTTTGCCCCCGGGGAGACCCCTTGGCTCCTGAACTCCAGAGCTCCCTAGTTCTGAAGTCCCCTCTGCAGCGGCCATGGGAGGAACTACGATGCCTTGAGTGTGGCAGCTGAACCACGTAGTGTGCGAGGGGTCCCCATGCTGCTTGTCCTGGGGTAGTCTCAGGGACCAGACCAGGAGAGAGAGGGAGGGAAGGGATCTGAGAAGGAGGGGCCGAGTTCTGGGAAGACACTTTGGTTGCAGCGAGCAGAAACAGGTGTGAACAGGTGCACACATCCTCATACAACATGTGAGCAAGGTGGCTGCAGGTAGATCATGGACAGAGAGAAGACTGAACTGGGCAAATGGCCGAGAGTGTGGGAGAACCTTTCCTGCCTCCCCTGTGTCCTGGTGCCTGTCTGTTGTGTCAGGTCCTGATGCTGAGCACTGGTTCTCGTCCAGGAATGCCAGGCACACGGCATGCACACCACCACATACCAATACTACACTGCGCAGACATCACCAATCGATTATGCTCATTTTCCCCTGTTGGGCCAGGCCACCGCCCTACAATCTTCCTCCACCGCCCTACAATCTTCCTCCATGGCCCTACAATCTTCCTCCATGGCTCTACAGGTGGAAGCTACGGGACATCTGGGGCTAAACCCATTCATTTAGGGAGAGCTAAACCATCGGCCTCTAAACCGGTGGGGACTCTCTTCATGAGCAAAGGGTCTCCCAGGGAAGGCCACGGCCACATTCCTGCAGTCAGTGCTTCCCCGCCCTCACTGCAGGTGGGCTGGACACCTCATCAGCCTCTCAGCCTGCAACAGCTTCAGGAGGTCCCTAGGGGGCCAGGCCAGAGAGACCTAGCTGCAAACATGGGGGAAGCCGAGCGCAAATCCTCAGGGTGCCACACGCAGGGGCTGGAGCACGTGGTGGGGGCTGCAGCCTCCCTCCCACCCTCACATCTGGGAGGGGCAGGCCAGGGTGAGCGGGGGCGGGGCCGCGGGAGGGGCGGGGCCGTACCCGTGATGAAGTAGCTGAGCTCAGCGTTGAGGCCAATGTCGTTGTCCGTGCAGTTCAGCCAGACCACCCGGAACTCGCGCGGCACGTCCTCTGACACCGACACGTTGTACACGGCCGGGAAGAAGGTGGGCGTCTCATCGTTTACGTCCAGCACTGCGGGCGGAAGCAGGTGGGGGAGCTGAGCCCGCTTCCACTCGGGGCGAGCAGGAAAGAACTCGCAGGGGAGTCACAGGCTGCAGGTGGCATCCGTGTCAACACCTGGTCCTGAGCCTGGGACCCGCATGCCTGCTGGGGCCAGGACCAAGCTGGCCAGAGGGACACGGCCTCCTGTGGTCATCGGAGGTGAGAACATAGGGCCTGGTGACAACGGCGACAGCGGCTCTTCCCACCTGCCAAGCCCACGCCAAGTGCTTCCCATGCGGGGCCGCAGTACCCTTCCTGGGGCCTTCACAGGACAGGCACCACCAGGTGCACTGTGCAGACGGGTAGGCGGACGCTCAGGGCCGCTGAGTGACTTGTCCCGGGTCACACAGCCAGACAGTGGAGCGGCTGGGGTCGTTGGGGGGGGGTCACGCCCAGGTGCATGTTGGGGTCACACAGAAGGGGACTGACTTTGGGGGTCTGTCTCCCCACAAGGCTAATGCCTTTTAGAGACGTGGTTTCCATGGCACAGCTGCTGCTGAGCCTCGGACAAAGGTCCCGCGACCAGGGTCCTCTCTGCCAGGCTGGGCACGCTCCCTGCCAGTCACTGGTGAAAACCTGGGTCCTCACACTGCCCCCGGGACCCGCGGCAGCCTTGGAGAGCAGGAGAGGGAATGTCCGGCCGGCGCTCTCTGCTCCTCGGGGTCTCGGCTCTCCACTGAGCAGGGCCAGCGTTGGTGCCCGTGTAAGCGGGGAACACTCCCAGGCCCCCGCCTGCACGCCTAGAGCGCAGGCCGCGTCTTGCCTGCTAAGCTCGCTCTAATTTCCTCCGTGGTTACTCCTGGCTGTTGGGCAATAGCTCACGTCAGCGTCAGCGTCTTCATTAAAGACACATCCGGAGCGGATGAGACCCAGGGCCAAGAGGACTCTGGGAATTGCAGCTGCCCTCCCGCTGGGCGGGGCTTGCAGTGGAGTCCCGCCCTTCATCCCCACAGGAGGTGGGGCCTCCCAGGAAAATCCCCG